CTAGCAGTCTCATTTCACTGGTTATTTTACATCAGTTATAGTTCAATTACATTTTTGTTCTGTCGACTCTGTTGTTGTTTTGCATATTTTTAAAGTCTAATTCTCTTATTGTTTCAACATTCTTTTAAATCTTGATACTGAAGTAGCACTAATCTCATGAATAGTTAGAGGTTATTTTTCAATTAGCATTTTTGAGTATATCCTGAGAAAGCTACTATGAAAGCAATATAAAGAACTATTTCTAGCGGCAGCTGATAAACAACTTTAAAAAATGGAGCAGAGTTGGAATATAAATCCAAATGATCCAAATTTTAATTAATGTCTGCCAGAATTAAGCAGCTCAGTGGATTTACAGTGATCTTTTTATCCTCTCTTAAGCATCAATGAAGCTTAATCCCTCTATCAGTGGTTAAATGATTATGATATATATTGCAAATCCCAATAACATTTAAGACTGCATATGCATGTTTGCCCTCATTAGCAAATGCTTGGTTAGATCATTGCATGTAAAGTGAAAATGGTAATTTTTACCAACTTGCAGTCAATCATTAGGAAAGGTTTTTGCAGCAGGTTGGGCATGCAAATTTAGCATCATAAATCCTGCTGTATTCCACTAATAAGTATTAAAATAAGGTTGAAAATGTGCTTCTAACAGCAGCGTTCAATATAATCACCCAGTGTGTTTTGTTTTCAGGTGTGTTTCTGCATGTGTTAGCAGACACTCTTGGCAGTGTTGGTGTTATTGTTTCCACGATATTTATTCAGCAATTTGGATGGCTGATAGCTGATCCACTCTGCTCTCTCTTTATTGCTACGTTGATTTTTCTCAGTGTTATCCCACTGTTGAAAGATGCTTGTCAAGTGCTTTTGCTGAGAATACCTCCAGAACAGGAGAAAAATCTGCATGCGGCTTTAGAAAAGGTCAGAAATGCAACTTTAAGTGTTTTCATATACAAACACACAAAGTTATAACTGTTTTTAATGGTTGTTACACAGGTAGTTCAGTGTGGCAGCTACTTTTGCATCAGACTGCTCTGTCTTATGTAAAACTTATTTTGCAGAGATTTGAATGGAGTTGTACTGCTGCAAGAATTCTGTGGGGTTGGGGAGCAGGGAGACTAAAAACCTTTTCTGAAAATGATTTCACTCACTGGCACCATACACTCACTGCCTCTGCTTTATGGATTCTTTGTGATTTCAGACAAGTATGGTCACAATTTGGGAAACCTAATTGATACTAACGAAGTAAGTAACGTGGTAATTTCCAAAAGCTGACAAGGCTTTTTCAGCTTGTTGTGCCCAATTCAGACTACAGGAGTACACCTTGCAGCAGCATCTAGTTATCACTGTTGGCTTATTTCAAGTTCAAGAACAATTGAAGTGTAAGTCATTAGAAGGTAGTAGGGAAAGCATAAGAAAAAAATAAGTTACCATAAACCAGTATGAACAGTTTTTAAAACAAATTAGACGGAAGACGTGTCTGATTTAAGTCTTGCTGTCAAACCTAAGTAGGTGCTTATTCTGGATAGTGAGGCAGCAGATGCCATAGAAATATTAAATGCCCAAACAAACTTTCTCCCTGGTCTGCCCAATGATGTAACTGCTATCTGTTCATTAAGCCATTTTTTCTCTCTTCCTATTTAGTATTGCACTCTGCATATTTTTTTTTCCGTTTGGTTTAAAAGTAATGGTTGATAATATACCTTCTTTACAGATTCAAAAAATAGATGGAGTCATATCCTACAGAGATCCCCACTTTTGGTGTCACTCTGCGAGTGTGGTAGCAGGAACAATACACGTGCAAGTGATGTCGGAGGTGATGGAGCCGAGAATTGTACAGCAGGTAAGTGCAAAGGTTTTGGCCCTAGTCCTCTGCTGCCTGTTCTTTCCTAACCCAATTTCTGTGACAGAGTGAACTTGGAAGCTACTTTGGTCGTTTCTGTAGCTGTTAGTGAATGTCTTAGAGCTGGTCTCTGATGCTGTACTAGCCCTTGCCTGCTTGTGAGGTTATTTACATAGAGCTGTTTGCTCAGACTTCTGCCAAAACAGAAAGTCCATCTGTTCCCTTCCTCCCCACGCCTGCCCCTCACTTCCCCCGCCAGTCTTTGGTTCTGCTGAAAGCAGCAGGGCATCTAGAGCCACATGCTCTAGGTGTCCTGGCTGGAGCAGCGGGGTGGGACTAGATGATCTCTAGAGGGCCCTTCCAACCTCAACCATTCTGTGATCTGCTGAGAAAAGGAGGGTTTGGTGCTGCAGTGCAGACACAAAGTGGGGAGATCTGGATGCTGGTCACGGGTTTATTACAGGCAGATTAATGTGATCTATCTGGCTTTTTTCTATCTTAAAACACAGAAGATGCTCATTTCCTTGCAGAGAGAATTAGCAATTATGCCAGAGTCATAAATCCTTATCGTCTGAAGCTTATCCCAACTTTCCAGGAAAGGGACTCCTTGTGATATTTATTTATATTTCAGACCCAGAATATTCTAAATTACTGTTATACAAAGTGTAGTACTAATGCTAACCATGCCAATTGTAATACTCAGGTTACAGCAATACTTAAAGATGCCGGAGTAAACAACCTGACTGTGCAAGTGGAGAAGGAAGCCTATTTCCAACACATGTCCGGCCTCAGTACAGGATTCCAAGATGTCCTTGCAATGACCCAGCAGCTGGAATCCATGAAATACTACAAAGATGGTACTTACATCATGTGATAAGGAACTGTGTGCTGGGGGGCATGTACACGGTGAAGCTGCAGGATTCCATAGGTGTAGCTTTTGTCACGAGAACGTGCACATAACATGTACAGAAACAAATGTACTATATATATGAATTTTTTAAGCATAATATCTTTATTAAAGTTGGATCAAGACACTTTTATAAAGAAAGATAGACTTGAATATTTGCTGTATATGTGGAAATAATTGGAATCTTAAATACAATAATTGGTGTTTATTAAACAGAAATCTTGCAACTTGTGGATGAGGACAGTTATATTCCATATCTTAAGAGAGTATGGAGTAATCACTTTGCCATGGGAAATGGAAATAGTTTAGGTTGCAGTGGAAACAATCAGCTAAAATCTTTTTGTTCATTCAAATATAGCTTGAACACTCTTTGAATAAAAAGAAGTGTACATGTTTATTATGGGGAATAAAAACTAAGCTATGAATTTTTTGCAGACTTTGTTATATAGGAATAAAATCACAGTTTTAGTATTACATCTGCATATAAATCTGTTTTTTAAATCTACTTGCTTTGATGCAGTAAATGTTTCCATTTTAGCATTTTTAAAATTATTTTTTAAGCATAAAAATTCAGCACTTGCCAACAGTGACTAATTGCAGATGCTTTTATTGGTTTTGGTTGCATGTCCTGTGTGAAAAGATTTTTTAAAAATGTAAAATATTTTGTACTTTTTTGTATGACTCTCTGCAAATGCGCTAGTTTCAGCCATAAGTTAATTCACCAGTAAACATCCACTCCCCTTCATCCAGCTAAACTTTGTCTCTTCGGGACAGAGTATTTTGTTGTTTTCTGTGTTTCCCTAGAGCTGGCCTTGATCTTTACTTTCTGTGGTGATAATTAAGTGATGCAGAGCCTCCAGTTGTGCCAAAATCTGTTTCACAGGGGCAGCTACTTGCCGAGCGGGAGAGCAGGCGCGTGCCCACCTAGCCGGCACAGCGTTGGTGGTGGTGACTGGCTCATGACTAAACTGCCCTGCGGGGAGCACCTGGCGCTGGGGTAGTCGTCCCTGCCGCACCGTGTTCATGTATCTCCCTGTGCTCCTCCTTGCCCCTTGGCTCTTTGCAGCACCTCCTCGCGTGGGAGCAGCCCTGCCTCTCTGCGCTCCTCCAGTGCAAACGAGTGCCTTTCACAGCTCTTTTCTCACCCTCCCCCGTCCCGAGGGCTCAGGGGCTGGATACCGTGCTGAGTAGCGCTTGCCTGAGCGAGCAGGGCCGTGCCAGGGTGGGAAGCCGCGCGTGTCAGCCAGGCCCCGCTAGCCGCAGCTTCCAAGGGCCGCCGCGGCGCCCACGCGCGGCCCGGGGCGGGGCGCGGAGCTCCGCCCCCACGTGCGCCGCGGCGCCGCCCCCTTTTCGAACGCCGGCCGCGGTCGCCGCGGCAACGCATCGGGCGGGCGCGGGCGGCAGCCAATGGGGCTGCAGCGGGCGGCCAATGAGCGGCGGCGGGAGCGAGATTTAAACGCGCGGCGCCGCTCGCCCCGCTCCGCTCGGCTCCGCTCGGCTCCCCGCGTCCTCCCGCCCGCTCCGCTCGGCTCCGCGTCGCGGCCATGGCGCTCAGGGTCACCCGGGTAGGTGCGGCGGCCGCGGCGCCCCGGGCCCGGCTCCCTCGGGCCGGGCGGGATGCGGCTCTGCGCTCGTCCCTCCCGCAGCGCGGTGCCGGCCCGGGGGGCGCAGCCCGGCGCCCGGTCCCGTTCCCGGGGCGCCTCTCCCCCATCTCTGCCTCCCCTTGCGGGGTGCAGCGGTTTCCCTTTCCCGCGGGACGGGGGAGGCGCAGCGCTCCCGCTCGGGCCCGTCTTCCCTTTCCCTGGGGGACGGGGTGGGGGTTGGGCTGGAAGGGGGAACAGCCGCCGCCAGGCAGGGTGCGGGTGCGCAGCGCTGCGGGTGCCGCAGGGCGGCCCGGCCCGGTGCGGCCCGGCCCGGTGCGGCCCGGCCCGGTGCGGCCCGGCACGGGGCGGGGGCGCGGCCCCGCTGAGCGCCCTCTCCCCGCAGCACACGCGGACGGCGGCCGAGGCCGCGGCCAAGAGCAGCGCTCCCGCCGCCAAGCGCGGGGCTCCCACGGGCGCCAAGGCGCCGCCGCGGCCCCGCACCGCCCTGGGCGACATCGGCAACCGCGTGGCGGCCGAGCCGCTGGCGCAGCCGCGCGCCGCCATCAAGAAGCCGCCGGCGGCCACCGAGAAGGTGGCTCCGCGCCGGGCACTCAGGGCGGCCGCCAAGGAGGAGCCGCCGAAGACGCAGCCGCCGCCGCCGCCGGAGCCGCAGCCCGCAGAGGTGCCGCAGCCCGCACAGGTACCGCAGCCCCGGCCCCCGGCCGCCCCGCCGCGGCCGCCCGCGCTCACCGCGCGCCTCCCCGCAGCCCGAGGCGCCCTCGCCGACGCCCATGGAGACGTCGGGGTGCGCGCCCGCCGAGGACGTGCTGTGCCAGGCCTTCTCCGACGTGCTGCTCCACGTGCGCGACGTGGACGGCGAGGACGGCGCCGACCCCAACCTCTGCAGCGACTATGTGAAGGACATCTACAGCTACCTGCGGCACCTCGAGGTGCGTGGCGGCCCCGGCGCGCGGCTCGCACCCTTCACAAGCACAAACAAGCGGCTCCTCAGCTGCAAACTCCCACGTACCTGAGCAGCCCCCTGGCACTGCTTGTCACACCAGGCAGCAAACAGCACACGCTCTCACCAGTAGCCAGTGAACTGAGAAACTTCACCCTGTCCCAGCCCCACATGGTTCCGTTTATCCCAAGTGGCACTGCAGATCTCTGCAATGCCCAACCTCTAACTGCCTGGCTCTCCTGTTAACCCCCTTCCTTCCACGCAGGAGAAACAAGCTGTCAGACCCAAGTACCTGGCAGGCCGGGAAATCACGGGGAATATGCGAGCCATACTGATAGACTGGCTCGTGCAAGTGCAGATGAAGTTCAGGCTGCTGCAGGAGACGATGTACATGACGGTTGCCATCATCGATCGCTTCTTGCAGGTGCGTATTTCCCATAGGTGTCTTTCCCTCTCAACTAGAGCACCAGTAGCATCACACACAGCTGGGCTTGTTAATCCCAACAAAGAGTAAAGTCCCAACAAAAAGGGCTTTGTCTTGAACTGCACACACTGTCTACCTGTCTCAATGAGAAACAGTGACTGGACTTAGCAAAGCTCTTTATTTCTCTTCCTTTATCTCAATAGCTTGTCTGTAGCCCAGCAGAGGTAATGAAATGCCGTACAGTTAACTCTGGCTGTGCAAGTGCATAGGAGGAAACTTGTACTGACCACTTTGGAAAGCTGTGTCTGACCCGAGTCACTTGTGCGGTCTCACACAACTCTGCTCTTTCCTGCTGCAGGACAACACTGTGTCCAAGAAGACGCTGCAGCTGGTTGGTGTCACAGCTATGTTCATTGCCAGCAAGTATGAAGAAATGTATCCCCCCGAAATTGGGGACTTTGCCTTTGTGACGGACCACACTTACACCAAGTCCCAGATCCGCCAGATGGAGATGAAGATCCTGCAAGCCCTGGACTTCGGTCTGGGTCGCCCCCTGCCCCTCCACTTCCTGAGGAGGGCTTCAAAGATCGCAGAGGTAATGCCCACAGCAGTGACAGTGCTGTCACCATGAGGACACAACGCTTGTTGGACTCTTGCGGATATTGAAATCTTTGGTTTGAGTTTTAGAACAACTTGGGACCTGAAGAAACAGCTCAGTCTGAAATGCACGTCCTTGTAGACCCTGTAGGCCTTGCTTTTCTGCTCACTCTCACTCACTAGCCCAGCCAAGCCAGAGCTAAAACACCTGCCTGGTACCAGGACAGGATTGCCAGGCTGCTGCTGAGGGTAACAGTCCCCAGCTACAAGCAGCTTTGCACTAATCAGAAAGGCTTGCTGATTAAGCCACTTCAGTTTCCAGCATATAGTTAGAGAAATGTCTGCTAAGGGAGTATTTCTTTTGCTGGATGAAACGGAGGCAGTGAGCAAGTTATCCTTGAAAGAAATTTTGCCTGGGGGACTACACTCAGTTTGGATTTATTGCAGGTGGACTTGGAACAGCACACACTGGCCAAGTACCTGATGGAGTTGTCCATGGTGGACTATGAAATGGTTCATTTCCCTCCTTCTAAAACTGCGGCTGCTGCTTCCTGTTTGGCTCTGAAAGTTCTTGATGGAGGCGAGTGGGTAAGTTGTGCTTGTCAGGCACTGTCTCGCACAGGAATCGGGGCAGTAACTGTTTCCTGTTGGAAGCCTGCAGCTGTCCCAACCCCATGAAGTCTGCCATCTAACAAGCTCCAGTTGCTCCAGCAGCACTACCTTATGGTGGCCTTTTCTTTCAGACACCAACTCTACAACACTACATGACCTACACTGAGAGCGATCTTCTTCCAGTCATGCAACACATGGCAAAGAACATAATCCTAGTGAATCGGGGCCTCACCAAGCACATGGTAAGTAAGTTCCTCCTGGTAAAGATGGGCCGGGCACTTGGCTAAGTGTCCATACGTGGCTGTGACTTAGTTGCTGATGCTCAAAGCAGAGCTGCTAGCTTCAGCTGAAGAGTCTCTGTGTTGTCAGAGCAGTGGAAGCTGATATATACTTAGTGAATCCCAAACTTGTTCTGGATGCTGGCATTCATTTGGCCTGGCCAGTATCTGGAGGGTGCCAGGGGAGTGGTGTGTTTATGATCAGGTTAAGCTTAATCTAACTTTGTTTTTGCAGACAATCAAGAACAAATACGCCAGCAGCAAAAATGCCAAGATAAGCACTATTGCACAACTCAACTCTGCTGTCATACAGAATCTCGCCAAGCCTCTGGCCAAAGCATCGTAACTCCTACACCACCTTGGGCAGGATGTTGGCACCATGTGCCACTGTGTACATAGTGTATCTTATTTGTGTGTTTAAAGCTTTTAATAAAGCATCTTGTTGCCTTTTACTTTTGCTGTGCTTATTTCAGTGCTTTGGGCTGGTCCTTTCCCTCCTGCAGCTGCTGAGTCCGTGGGCTGGCTCTGCTCAAAGTGCTGCCATCGCTGCAGTGCAGCTTCAACGCAGTGTTGCTACTTAATTAAAATGTCACTAGGAGACATGCAAGAGCAAGAAAAAATGAGTCTGTGGGGGCCGCACTTGCTTGTCCCAAGCTGCTGAAGCTTTTGTCCCACTTCTCTCTGAAAATAATGCCGGGCTCCGGCGCTTCCTGGCGGGCCCAGTACAGCTTCGGGTAACGGTCCTCATGTGGGGCAGCTCGGGGCCGAGCTCAAGGGCAGGAAGGCTCCCTGGCCTTGGGGCGGAGCTCAAGGGCAGGAAGGCTCCGGGGCCCTGGGGCCGAGCTCAAGGGCAGGAAGGCGGCTGGGCCCGCACGGCTGGCGGGGACGTGGCTCCCGCTCCCCGCATAGGCGGCACGAGGCCCTGCGGCTCCCGCCCCCCGCTCCGCCGCTAACGGTCGCTAACGGCCGGGGCCGCCTGGCGGCCGAGCGCCGAGCCGCCGATGCGGAGGAGGAGGACCGCGATTGGTGGCGTTGCGGCAGCCCCGCCCTCCCAGCCCCAAGCAGGCGCTGGCCGAGCTCGCCGATGAGCGCGCGGGACGTTTGAAGGCTCCGCCATGGAGCCGGCGGCGGCGACGACGGGGGAGGCCGTGCCCGAGGCCGAGGCCGAGGCCGGTTCCACGGCCAAGCTGGACGTGCTGACGCTGCTCCGGTGGGCGCGGCGGGGCCGGGGGCTGCGCGGGCGGGCGGGCCAGGGCTCGGTCTGACCGTTGCGGCCTTTCCCCTTGGCAGCCTGCGGGAGCAGATGAAGCAGCAGCTCATGGAGTGCAGCACTGCGGCCCAGGCGGGTAGGACGCCCCTTCCCGGCGCGCACGGCCCCTGAGCCCCGATTTGCCCGAAGCCCTCGTTGCAGCAGTGATGCATTCAGAGCCTAAGCATCCGGCTGCGTGCTCGTGACGTGCCCGTGAAGGCACATTGCAACCCCTGCCAAGCTGTCTTCAGTATCGCCCACCTCCTCCCCCTGCTCGCCTCCGGTTTTTCCTTTAGACCCCTCTGACGTTCTGACAAAACTTAAATACAGTAACGGCTTTCAGGAATCTGATCAGCTGGTGTTTCAGGTTTTCAACACAAAGTGTTAGATAGCAATACCAATTAAACTTATTTCTTCTTGTGCCTGATTTGTTTCCATTATGTGTCTTCTCCACTGAACCAGCTAGGAAACTCTGGTTACATGCAGAGCAGGGCTGTGAACTTGCTTTGGCATGACCAGAAAGTGCTAAATAGGAATATATTTCACTGATTATTTCTCCAAAACAGCTGATTGGCAATGCAGCCATACTAATTGCAAAAGAGATGCTGAGGCGTGGGGTTAGGGATAAGAAATACCTTGTCAGTGTAGCCATCCAAGTGCTTGCCCTTTGTATTCTGTTAACTGGTTTTTAGAATTTCCTGTTATGCTATTTCAGTAATTGCTTGCTTTGCAGGTGAAGAAAGTTTTCCTGACCATGTCATAGAAGAAAAGCTAATCAAGAGGTAAGTCAACTGATGATTTCAATCTTCTGACATAATTTAAAATAAAGGAGTTGGGAACTGATCTGGATATTCTTTTCTCCTCCTTTCTAATGAAAACTCTAGATGAACTATCAATAATTTGCAAGAATATAATGTAACTAGAGGAGTTGAAAGGATAACATGGGGAGGAAATATTTTATACAACCTCCTGATATAATCCTGTATCTGATGTGGTTTCTAAATCTGCAATCCCTTTATGTAACAGTTAAAGTTAAATAACATAATTCCATATGTCTAAGTATTCCTGTATCAAATAATTCATAAGTTACAGGCAAAGTTCTTATTTCAGGCCTTGAGAAAGCAAGTCAAAACCCTCAAGAGTGAGAATGCTTTTAAAATTTCCTTGTTTTCACACTGCTGTTTTTGTTTCAGTACCACAGAAGACTTGGAAAGAGAGATGGAGGAAGTAAAAGTCTCCTTCCAAAACAAGACATTGGTGTTGCAGAGGCATGTATTTTTTTCCTGTTTGTCTTGGGCTTTCTCTGTTTGTTTGTTTGTTTGCATAAGTTTCTATCATGGATGTACACGGAAGTTGGATTAAAGTAGGATTTCAAAATGCTGCAGTGCGTGTTACAAACATGAAAGAACTAATTAGTACCATTGAACCAGCAGGAGTGAAGGTGGAGATACCATACAGAACAGCAAAGGACACAAGTTCAAATGCACAAATCCCAAAGATCCTGCAAAATTGTCAAAGGCTGATCATATATATCACTAGGCATAGTTGTTGGTTGTATTTTACAAGTAGCCATGAAAAGCTAGAGATTGTAGGTGCTGTGTATCTTCTGTGTTATGTAACTATCTATTTGAATTCCTGTTTTTATCCAACTTCCCTTCTGCAGTTGTTGGGATTATTGACATCTAAGGTATGTTTGGCAAGTGAGAAATGCATTGTCATGCTTACAAAGAATGACTAATATGTTCTTCTAATCCTAAGAGCTAAAAATATACATTTAAGCAGTGTGATATTTACAATTGAGGGATATTTTAATATATATTTCCAATGTGAAAATGATCATAAACTGAACATTGGCAATCTCTTTTTCAATATTTATCTAAATTCCATTTTCTTAGTTTCTTATTAATTCACATCACCTGTTTTCTCCACACTATGCAGGATGCAGCTTATAGATGCCCTGAGAAACAAAGTGAAACAAGATGATGAAGACTCGAGGTAAGGTATTTTGGGGGAAAGGATGGCCAAAAAGAAAGGAAAGGAATTGACACATTTGAATGAAACTCATTTTGGCGTTGCTTCATTGCATCGGTTAAAAACAAGTGTTCTTCTTCTAATTTTGACTGGATGATGCACATGATGCACACTTTTTGTTTAGAATCACTATGATGAAACCCCATATATCTGCAGTGGTTTTAATTTAGGTTTTGAACTAACCAGTCTTTGTTTATAGAGACATTTGGGCTTGTTTCACCCAAACCTACTAAACTCCATAGGTGTTTAAGCACCCCCATAGGTGTTTGTGTACCAGCTCCATGATCTTGACCATACCTGCTGTGGAATGCAATCACATTTCCTTTTCTCCTTCCTGCTTTCAGATTTAAGTTGAGACACAAGACATATTTTTGATGTTATATGAGTTTTTCCCTTCTTTGGACTTTGTCCTTAGATTTATGCTGATCATCTTGAGTGTAGACTGTATACAGGGCCTTGTCTCTCTTTAATTGTCTTCTTTAGTCACTTAATGTCTTTGAATAAGAACTGAAGATTTTGAACTTGTTTGAAATTACCTGTTCATCTCTCAGCCAGTATGAATGGATGCATTTGAAGTGTAACATGAGAAATATAATTTCTGTAGGAAACATAGCAAAAGATGCTCTATACCCATGATATCTCTGGTGCTGGCCAGAATTCAGAAATTCCAATTTCTTTCTGGGGTGGCTTGGCTACCTTGGTGCGCAGTGAAAACATACAGCTTGGCAATGTTAGAACTTAACTGAAACACTGAGGTGGAAATAAAGAGAATATTTAGCCTCTAAAGTTATACCCAGTCTCTTAAATCTGCCAAAGAAAGGGCATAGTTTTGCAAAAGTAGAAAATAAAGTATGCTTTTTAATATGTAATTTAAATACATTGATTTATTTTTATATATATCATGACTAAATATATAATTTTTATATACTTATTTTAAATTATATCTATTTTAAATAACTTTTTTCTGTTAAAATATTTGTGCTGTTTGCATATATTAATAGTCTTAAGGTTGTGCAAATCTGTGTTTTCTTCCTTAGACTGATCTTGGAGACTATGAAACACATAATACTGCTCAGCACATCAATACTCGAATCTCAGCAGGTAAGTGGCAGCCATCCCCTGTCTCGCCATTGCACTGGCCTCCTTTCCTCTGTACAGCCAGGGGGCACTTTGAAAGTCTGAAAGTAACAGGAATGCAAAAGTCATTTGAAGTTAAATATTTGGCTAAATCACACAGTTACTACTGGTAATAAAATTATTGAAATGCTTGTTTAAAGGGAGTATGCAAAAGGTCTGCTTCTAGAGCAGACTACTTTATGAATTAAATCAGCATCTATCAGTGTTAATTGGATTAATTATTGGATTAATAATTATTTTCTTGTAGCAAGCACGTGAGATGGAAGAGAAATTGAATGATATTAAAAGGAAAAGACTCAGTAAGTGTGTTAATTAAATGAGCTTTGTTTTATATTTGAATGTGCAGTTTGTATTTTAGAAGGTGCTTCTTGAAACAATATTAACATATGAAGTCATTGTGAAACTGAATACAGTTCTGAAACTTCTGAAAAGAGTTGCATGAAATATGTTTAAAAAAAAGAGCTGGCATGTTTGCTACTTGTGGATGAGACTGATGTGTTAGAACAGAGATACAAGAAGATACTCAAAAGCAATGTGGTTTAGTTTCACTATCTAGCGTGCACTCCCCAGTTTATTATACCTCATTTAGGGTTTTTTAGAATGAATTCATATTAAATCAGTCCTATGACACCTAGGTTTGGGTTTCTGTGAGATGGCACCTTTGTGAATGTTTGAAGACTGAGAGGGGACTTCCCTACAATGAGCTTATGTAGTAATGTATGCCTCGATCTTCAGTATGCCGGTTAGATTAGGTCAGTAATTGAATTTAGATTTTTAATTTGCTTTTCAGAATTTACTATGGTAAATATATTTTTGAACATGTAAATATTCACTCGCACTGCGGTGTGATTAAGTCTGTCAGCAGTTTTAATCACTTCTTATTTTTACTGTGTTTGTTTCATCAGTAGTAAGTGCTGTACGTGTGCAGAGCAATAAACAAATGCAATCACATATCTGTCTTCAAAGGAAAAATAAGCCTTGTATAGTCAGAAATAAAGGAAGAAAATGCTAACAGCATTTTTTTTAGTCTGTGAGATGTCTCTTAATCACTCTTAAGACTGATTTCCTAAGGAAACTGGAAATATTCACATCGTCCATGTCCTTTTAATGACCTTGGAACTTGGTTTGAAAATGAGCAAAAAGGTCTTAAACTTCTTCAACTATAGAGGTTGTTCCAACTGGAGATAAGGTGTAGGACAGATGTTCAAATTAGTGTCTGACGGAAACATAGGCAATGAACACAGTACTTTCTATTTTGCCAGCAGCCAGGGAACCAGTTTGTATATATAGAAATGAGATGTCACAGCACATGTTGGCTTTAAGTGGAAGAAAGAACTTGAGGTAACTGGAGGGAAGGGATGGGGTGAAAAGTTAGGATTGTTGCAGTGGAAGTGCCTTAGATGTCTGTGGGAAACAGGGTTTCTTTAGTTCCACTGCACACAGACCTATTTGTTAATGTTCTGTTTTCCTAATAATGGAATAGTACTAAAACAAGCTGGAGGAAACAAACTACTACAAATTCATACTACAATGAGAAATCAAAAGAAGGAACTGGCAAACATGGAAGTGGGTGAAATGCTGGAGAAGATACGTAACAACTTACAAAAAGAAAAGGAGATGACAACATTAATTCAAAATATTTTCCAGGTAATGAAAACATGCCACATATGGAGATAATTTTACTGCTTTAAAGACTGAACATATGGGACTGCCCCAAGTCATTGTTCAGAATAATTATTTCTAAACCTTAGAAACAATCTATCAATCTATATTTACTTTTTCCACCTAAGATACAGAAATGATGCATGTCCTAGAGGAATGACTGTCACATCTCCCCACACCAGTTTTCCAGCAAACTGCAGCTGCAACTCACAACTTGCAAATTTATCCACAAATGGCTTATGAAATCCCAGTTAGTTTATTAAGCAAAAGATAGAACAGGAAAAGACAGAGTTTACTTGAGGGCTTTTTGGACCAGGTAAAACCAGTCTGTAAACTTGTGTAATCTGAAGAATTTCAAAAGACAGAAACACCCAGCTGTTTCTGTATTGCATGCTATATCTTCTAGTAGTTTGCAGTAGAGTTTTTTGTTTGTTTGTTTGTTTATTTTCCTAGGTATTGACAGTAAGATCGAAACTAATACTTCCCCTTCTCCCTGTTGTCCTACTGCCTACTTCAAACACTGCTGTGATTTTCAGGGAGTTCTAATGCAAAGTTTAAATACAGGACTCTTTTTCAAGATTTCAATAAGAATAGTTGTTTTTAAAAGCCTTTTTTTTTAACCTAATTTTTTTTTTTTTTTTGTAGAATATCATAATCGGAAGCAGAGTTAACTGGGCAGAAGATCCATCCTTAAAGGCAATTGTTCTACAGCTTGAAAAAAATGTGTCTTTTCTCTGAGTAAGGAGCAATGATGTTTAGTTTTATATTCATATTATACAATGATGTTTAGTATGTTTTATGTAACTGACATACTAAATTTGATGTCAACTAACACGTGTTATGAAAACACATTTTAAGATTTTGAAAAAATACGTTTTTGGGATATACTTCTTCTCTTTAGAGATTCAGAATGTGGCCATACAACTCTTTGAAGTGCTATTTAACTGCTGGTATATACCAAATGTTGGAACACCTAGTGAAACTAACTGAAGAATTGATTCCTGGCTGCTCTATCCCCGCTCTGAAATGCGGCAATACAGCTGTATGACCAGCTCTTATGTAGAAGTGGGCTTGAACCGAGGTTGTGCCACTCGCATGCAGCCCAGCTACTGCGTGTGAGAGAAGCTCTTCCTTCCTTTCAGTGCAGGGAGGCTTTGCAGCAGAAGACAGCAGCATCATCCAGCCCAGCAATATGGGAAGTTCCAATGGCAAAACTTAGGTTGGCAGTATCTGCATGGATTTTTTTTTTTCCTTCTTAAATCTTTTTTTTTTTTTTTTTTAACTCTTAGGTGTGTCCTTTGTGACTATGCCTCATGATGCTCAAGACATCCGTGACAAGATAGAGACTATAGATTCTGTCTCACACGGCAAAATACGTCCGACCTAGAGAAAAATGCACATAAAATGGAAGGTGCTGCTTGATGCTGTTAAAATTATTCAACAGAGCTGTATTTTAAGTCCTTGACCTTCCTCTTTTTACTTTATGGTAGAAGAAAGTTGTTATGGCAGATCATATTTTGTGTAACGTTTCGGATTAAAACGATTTTGCTTTTAGGGGTGAGTGTCTGATTTCAGCAGGCAGCCCGGCCTGGCCGTGTCCAGCTCCAGTACCCGCCCGTTCTTCCCTTCGCCCTTGGCCTCGCCGCCGTTACCCGCGGCCCAACGGCCCCGGCGGCCCCGCCCCCGGCGGCCCCGCCCCGCGGCCGCGGACACCATGGGCAGCAAGATGGCGGCCGCCACAAGGGTCGTTCAGGTAACGGCGCCGCGGGGCTCGCGCGAGGCCGCCGGCCCGTGGCGCGGGCGCGACGGGCCCTGGCCCTGGCCGGGACGGAGGAGCCGCCGCTTCCCCGCAGCGGGCGCGCGGCCGGGGCTGCCGTGACCGCCCCGGGCAGGAGGCGGCGGCGGAGGCGCGTTACCCGCTGTGACGGGCTGCGCTCGCCTCTCCCCGGGGGAATCCGCTGGGTTTTGAGGAAAAACCGCAGCCCGGCGCGCGGCCGGCGTGTGCGCAACACCACAGCCACCTCTGGATACCGGGCCTTTCTTACTTACACCTTTTCCAGCGTGCGCAGTGCAGGCAGCTGAGCGAGCACACAGAAGCCCCACACCCGTAGCAGTTACACAGCTCTCATGATAAAACTCTGCAGCTCCTTTTTTTTTTTTTTTTTTTTTTCCCCCACTGTTACAGCTGCTTCTGCATGGTCTGGGATTGCTGTGAGCAAAGTAAAGGTGCCCTTATCCCGGAGCTGGGCACAGGGATGAAGGAGTAGTGTTACAAGTGGAATTTTTCCTTGGACAAAACTAAAACAGAAGTACTAAGCTTGTCAAAATAACGGCGCACAAAGCAGCACTACAGCAGTGATCAAATAATGTTATGCTTTCCATTGCATTGTTCTTCAGAAATGTATTTTCCTGTGTTCTCATATCTTCTAGGTAGTCAAGCCACATACTCCCTTAATTAAGTTCCCTGACAGAAAAAGCATCCCTAAACCTAAAAGTAAGTATCTGCTGTAAAGATATAACCTGTACAACTTAACTTCACATTAAATGTTTTATGTAAGAACCAGGACACACTTCCCCCCCCCCCCCCTTTTAATTTGGATTAAATATTTACCCGCTTTTGAGCGATATTTCTAGAATGGCTCTTTGACACTTGCATTCCAGACATTACAACTGTGGGGGGAAAAAACAAAGTGTATACATGTCTTGATCAAGACAGATTCCTGTAGATTTCCAGTCTTTTCCTGCTCCTGATTTATATATGAGATCAGATTTTCACAAATACTAATATCTGCTTCTGCTTGACATGTTTCTGTCAAAGTCACCATGAGAAGAAACCTTAGGCATTCAGTGATGTTTGTAGAAATCATGTTGGATTTTGCTCAGTCCTTTCCTCAGTCCTGACTAGAGTGTCTGTGGCATTTCATATCCTGATTATAGCCATGCCACTCTGCATTTTAAGAAATGTTTTCCAGTGCTATTAGTTAATACTAAAGAAAAAAAGTAATTTCTTTGTGCTCTTTGACACATCCATTTTTATACCTATAGCTATGTTGATATTTACAGCATATCAAGCGATTATATTCACATAGAAGTTATATGAGCTGGATGATGTCTTAATATTCCATTTGAGTCAATAAAGCATTTATAACTAAAATAACAGATGTCTTATGATGCTCTGTTGCATTATTCTCACTTTTTAGAAGTAATGGCTGGTTTTGATTCTTTTTTTTTGGCTCCTTACCTATGCAATCTTTTTTTTTTTTTTTTAATATTCCAGTCAAAGTTTTTCTACTCTTTAAGGATCTCTTGTGAGCAGAAAGCTTTAGTCAGATGAAGATTCACTGTTTCTACTGGTGCTCACAAATGCAGAATGGATAAAAACATGTCGATTTTAGATTTCAGAAACCTCCAGACTTTGCATGCTTAATTTTACAAAAGAATATGAAGAGTAAGTATTTTGTAAAGAATGGTTGGGAGCAATTTCAGTTAAGTGCTTGTATTTGGAGGCATTTTTAATTTAAAAAAGAAGAAAAAATATTTGATACATGAATATCATGAATATTCCACATATTTGCTAGAGTGCTTATCACACATGTTTTAGCTCTTAAGTTTAGTTTATCTCTTATCATCATGACATACCTGCAGTGCAAATCAGCTGCCACTTCTGCCTCGCTGATAGGTGTTGTCAGGAACTGCCTATTTGTGGTAATTCTTGGTCAGAATTCTGTACGTTGTGCCTAGTTAGGTCACCTGCACCCCCTTTCCTGTCAGTTTAAAAAACATGTCCATTACCTCTGCTTCTTTTCCAGCCGTGTCTCAGACAGTAACATACAACAGGGAAAAAATCTAGGCAAAGCTCTAGCCATTTCTGTGGCATGTAAAACAAACTCAGCAAAACTATTCATGTTTTTCATACATAAGGAGTGTTATTTATTCTCTAGGAGAAAAATGCAACTTATACCCATGACTACTAGCCAAAGCTATTTACCAGCTGGGTGCCATTAAGAAGTTGGCAAATGGCTATATCTCTGATTATATTTAATGTTCTCTCTGCTTTCTGCTCTAATTTCAGTTCAGTGGCTTCACCCCATTTCTGGTTTTGTTCCTTTTCATAGTCTGTCTTCTTCCTCACTGTTTGGGCCTTTCTCTGTGTTCCTGGACTGACCTGCCTTGTCAAGTGGCTAAACCTTCTAGCCAGAGGCCTGGGAGCATTTAAATAATCATGGTGCTGTAGGACTCGGTCCTGCCTGGTGCAGTAGCTGTGTATGGCCTGGGTCTAAATAGCTGAGGTCTAAAGTTCTTCCAGGGCTGACTCTGGCACTGACCAGACGCTCACTGACCTTTTATCCTCTGTTCTCAGATCCTCAAGCTCAAGATGGCTTTTCTAATGTGAATTCCTTACACCTAGCTCTTGGCCCACAACTGGGAACTGTTTTGTGTCCCATGTTTTATTAAGGGTTTGATTGCTGATGCCCTGTGTCTGCACATCAGTAATGGATTTTGACATGCTGCCATCTACTGATACTAAAAAAGGTGCAGCACTAAACTGCATCTTCGATTTCATAGCTGTGAGCTTTATGTTTCTGTAAGCATCTACCCCTTTTTCACCTGTCCTTATAATCACCGTAAGTGGAGCCAAATACCATCTTAGCGGGGAGATATTTCTATGTACTCCTCTCTTCTGATACCTTGCAGATAAAATGTGCTTTGTGTGTCCCCAAATACAATTTCCCAGTAAAAGAGTTAAGAGTATGTATGGTTTGTCTTCTGCTCCCACATCAGTATTTCTGACACTCAAATAGGATTTCTTCTGCTTTTAGAATGTTTTCAGTGTGCTCTTGCTATCTTTAACAACAATGAAAACAGATTGTGGGAAGTTCATACTTGATTAAGTATTTCTTAAATAGGAAGGAGGAAAAAGCAATTGTCAGTAACTGGTGGCTTTTATTGGCTGCTCATGTAATGAATTGTGCGGTCTTAGTATATTTCTGTAAATGGTTTCGCACGCTGGCTTTCAGTGCAGGAGTCGCTACAAGCAAGTGTGCCGTCACACCACGCTGCCAAAGCGCAGGAGCCCCCGGGAGGCCGATCGCCCCCCTTCCAGAGTACGTCCCCGGTCAGCAGGGTACAAGGGGCGCCGGACACTTCCGAATTAGCAAGAACCTTGCCCCAGAAATACAGAAGGAAACTTATGTCAGAGGAGGAGATCGAATACATTCAAGTAAGTTTGTTGGTGCATATTCCTGTGTTATGTTATTTCTACATGTTCTTTAAAGTTTCAGATATGGCATGAGGTTTGAATGCTTGTTAACTGTGTGCCTGGAGGTTTCACACCTTTGATGCACAAGAAATGATGCACAAGAAATAAAATGTTTTTTTTTTTTTTTGTAGTAGTAGTACACTTCTAGCTTAAGTTTTCTGAGAGGTAAATTCTAAAAGATTTGTTGGCAAAATAATGAATTAAGGAGCTGTTTCATTTCTTGTAGAGATTCTAACAGCTGACCTTGCTTTTGCTTTTACTTTGCATCTTGAAAATAATAAAAATAATTCTGAAACTCCTGTAAACTACTGCCGTGTTTATGAGACCTCTCTAAAAGCCACAATTCCTCCAAGTATGGGAACCAGGAATCCAGCTAGTTATTGTTTGCAGATATTAGTATCTTTTTTGTATTCGCCCTGAAGTGAAAAAAAAGTTATTGATTGATGCTAATGCTTTGAGACCCTGTGCATGGCCTTTTATAATTAAAAATCAATGTCTCTATTATCTGTAGTAGTGCAAAACAATGTTTGCTCTTGATGTATCCTCCTTTTTGTAGAATATATTTGATTGTCTATTTTACAGCGTGGAGGTCCCGAGTAAGCGTGGAAGATAGTTTGTTCGCCGCTGTTGAAGAACGAAGTATTCTATTCACAATGAAAGTATCTCCTTAATGTTACAAATGATTATATATAAATAGCTTTAATGAATACCCCGTCCGAAGGGTGAGAAGGTTGCCACGTAATGCACTATTAATGTGTGAGTGCGGGAGGCTTTCTTTTAATGGCTCACCAGTGAAAATACCGGATGTTTGCACCATTAAAATATTTTTCTAATCAGCCATGCTACCACCTTGGCAATAAAGCTGTCTGGAGTCGCTTTCTTCTGCATGTAAAGACCCGGGTGTCTCCTCCCTAGGGGTGATCTTGCTAGTGGGAATTTTGTTGTGCCGGCGCCGCCTCCCGCGCGCGCCGCTCTCGCGAGACCGCGGCGCTCTCGCGGGAGGCGGCGGTGACGCCGGCGGTTGCC